TTTCTCCTATGGGCGATGAGGGCGGGTGTGCGAGTGTGCTCTATGACATTCCTGCAAAACACCTTAGAAGAGATTGCACTCAATCAGCGTGGAGCACCGGCACTTGGTCATTTTGTTACCGCACTCGCCAAACATTTCGATATCGATCCTATGGCCTACACATTGCACGACGATACGTGGGGACCAGACAAGACTCAGATGCGATGTATTAATTTTAATGAACTCAAGCAGGCTGACCTCATCAAGAACCGCACCACAGCTCAGGAGTATACGAAACGTCAGGCTTACGAGACCTATTTCAAAAAGCTCCGGCAGAGTGTGCCCGATTCCGATCAGCCAGGCTCGTCTCGGCAGCCGACAGACAGAGACGAGCATGAGCAAATGAACGTCGACGATTCCCATTCCCTCCCACATCCACCCATATGCACACCCCCGATCCCACAGCCCGAGATTCCAATCCAGCAGCCACCGGCATGGTGGTCCACTTTTTAGACTCAGTACACGTCCGATATCCGCTCTATCCACGACCGCTTCGACAGCCTTAATGACGATCTCCGGTCTATTCGCGAGCGGCAGGAACAACAGGATGCTCGGATGGGCATCTTGGATCAGAGGTTCACCCAGTGGGAAACCCGTTGGACCTCGGAACCCAGTCAGCCTTTCCCCCCTCCGCCACCACTACCTTCGGATGAACAGTGACGTTTCACTGTGCTTTGAATGTTGTTCGCACGTTTTCATTATGTTCTATCCTGGTTTATGAATGTTGTTCGCACTTTTGAACTCCATAACATATTTTTCGAATTGTTATTTTCGGATTCGTTTTGCACTAGGATTTTGACTTTGAACTTTCGTATTAATCGTAAGCTTCTATTTTCGTTTTATTAATGAATGTCATGGATTTCTTTAATATGAATGTTTGTGTTCAGATCGCTATGAGTAACTAAATTCTCTATCTAGGGTTAGGGGATTGTCGTAACAGGTTTCGAAATTTGCGCCAGGTTTCTTTATTGCCAAGAAACTGGTTTCTTGCCAAGAAACTGCTTTCTTGAACGAAAATCTGGTTTCTTGCCAAGAAACTGGTTTTCTTGAACGAAAATCTGCAGAAAATCTGGATTCTTGCCAAGAAACTGGTTTCTTGCCAAGAAACTGGTTTCTTGAACGAAAATCTGGTTTCTTGCCAAGAAACTGGTTTCTTGAACGAAAATCTGGATTCTTGCCAAGAAACTGGTTTCTTGAACGAAAATCTGGTTTCTTGCCAAGAAACTGGTTTCTTGAACGAAAATCTGGTTTCTTGCCAAGAAACTGGTTTCTTGCCAAGAAACTGGTTTCTTGNNNNCAAAATCTGTGAAGGTACCTATTCATCGCCGTGGCCGCGACCAAGAACTTCTCCGCGGCCGCGACCACCGTCCGCGGCCGCGAGACACATCCGAGGCCGTGATATATTTTGTGCTGAACTTGAAATTTGGGACACCAAAAATACTCGCCGCAGCCGCGGCTATGAAACACCCCGCGGCCGCGACCACTTATTTTTTTTCCTTAATTTTATTCATTCAAAATTTTAGGGACTTCACACACTTTACTTCAATTTTCAATCATCTTAAAAATAACTACTACAAACATAACAAAACTACACACATCAATATGTCCCACAAAGTTATTACATTAACCACACACAAATCAATCATACAAATTACAACCCAATTATGTCTTCCCACAAACAAAACATTCATTTACGATCCATAAAAAACAACATATAAATGGAAAAAAAAGCATATAAACTAGGTAATGTTTTGATGACACTTGTTCCTACGGTGGCCAGGTTGCTTACATTTACCACACAAACGAACTTTGGTAGCGGGACGTCCAGATTGAATTGGTTGCTCAACATTTTGGACTAAGGCAACACAAGTTGTAGAGTAATGCCCACTTTGATGGCATCGTGTACAAAATGATTTACTTCGAGAGCTCGAAGAAGGGCCAGTAGAAGGTATGCGGTTTGACCTCGGTCTTCCGGCTTGTTTGGGATTAATAGGGCATTTGACAACCATCAAACTAGGTGATGTAGTTAAGTCCCAAGTACTTGGATGCGCAATTGGCATGATTATGGGCTCGTAAAGTTTGCGCCATGTTGTGGTCTTGTAGTAGTCGTGCACATATCCATACACCGATTCGTTTGCCTTCCTAAAAATGGTACATGCATAGAAAACAAATTAAAGGAACACAATATAACAATATGTACGTAAACGTTGCGGCTTCTAATAAAAAAATTAAAAAAAAAAGGATGAAAAAATTACCCGATAGCGTTAATCGCGTGTGAACAGGGCAATAAATCCACCTGAAAGAGATAACAAGTGCATGTCCGATCATTCAAATTGACAACAAAATTCTTGACCCCGTCCTTCACGTGGTAAATGTAGTGATTGATATTTGAAGCTTCCATTTGGTCTGCTGCAGTTTTATAATCCATTAAACGCTTAGATATTGATGGAGGAACTTCACACTCAGTCTTTTCTGTCTCGACACGTCTTTTGTGAAACCACTCTTGCATAATGTTTCGAATACATTCAAATAATGAGCAAACAGGCGATTTCCTTGCCCAACGCAACCTATTGTTAAGCACCTCACAAGCATTTGACGTCATGAAACTATATCGTCTAACAGGACATTGACTTCGTGCCCACCTTGTTGGAATGGCTTCATCAACCACAACTTTTTTTGTGTTAGGATATTTTGCCGCAAGCATGGCCATCGACTTCTCGTACACAACAGGAGAATAAGTGTATGAAGCTTTCATATATAAACCAACAGCTTTAGACCCGTGACTTCGAATATTTTGTCGAAGGTGGTAGGAACATATGGCATGTACGGCTTCAGGGTAGACAACCTCCATAGCAGACTTTATGCTCGGGTGGCGATCAGAAACAACTACTAAATTTTTCGGACATCCGAAAGTGGAGCGAAGCTTTTGGAGAAACCACATCCACGCACTATGACATTCCTTATCGCCGATACCAAATGCCAAAGGGAAAATTTGTTCATTTCCGTCCTTTGTAGTTGCTACAAATAAGATGCCTTTATACTTACCCTTCAAATGCGTACCTTCAATCACAATAACAGGCCGACAATAACTGAGGAAGCCTGCAGATGCGTTAAAAGAAATGAAAGCATACTCAAACACGTCATCTTTATCAGTCTCAATGTATGCCGATGTTCCAGGATTTTCCTTCATCGACATATGAAAATACGCCGGCAAAAGTTCCCAGGATTTCTTATGATCTCCATAAATGAAGTCGTAGGCGGCGTTTTGAGACCTCAGAGCTGTATTATATTTTAGCTTAATGCCATGATCACGCTCCATGTCACCCATAATCTCCGCAGGCTTTAATACTCGGCCCTCTGTTAACAAATTCGGCGCGAATAATGCTCCAATGATCTTTGCAGGCAATTGTCGAGGGGCTGAATGATTTAGGTTAACTGAGCATGTATGTGGATGGATAAATTTTGAAATTTTCCAACTACCTCCAGTCAGTGTATTCGCAGAAAGCAAGAATGGGCAATTTTTATGCTTGCACACAACCTTTAACCGAGAATTTGAAGATCTCGGTGTTCGGAACTCCACTTTATGCTTCAAATGGTATAAACCCACTTTTACCAACAATTCTTCCTTACTTTCAATGACAACGCCTTTGGCTAATTCATGATTTATCATTGACGACTCGTCAGACGAAGGATGAACATCAACGTTGTGAAAATTGGCTTCGGGAATCCTCCAACCGCTACTCGAACGAGTAGCAATTTCATTCAAATCGTCCTCTTCAATAGCAACCCCT